TCAGCATAGCGGCAGCGCTTCAGCCTCAAACCCCGCTTGGGCTCCTTTCTTGAAATGGGGCTGAGCGGCAGCGCCCGCTCCGAGAGTTTAGCGCAATGCTCTTGTTATTTTTGTTGAAAAATGGAGTGGTGTCCTGGGGTTGGGGCGGGTAGGAGACGCCGATGTTTGAACAAGTCGTGTTTGTGAAAACATTGAATTTCATGTCTGTAATTGTCTTTAAAGGGATTTGGAAAGTTTTTCGTGCTCGTTGCCCAATAAATGGGAGATGAAGCTCTGCTGCTGAGCGAGTTCTCTCTATCTAGTTCGGTGCCATTCGCAGAATCCAGGTTTCAGGCTGCAGAGGCCTGTGGGGCAGCGTCGCCCCAATTCCTGGTCGTTGGGCAAATGCCCGACAGCCCCAGTCGTCACCGTGCCATCGAGGTCTCGCGCGCTGCGATGGCGTCACGTCCAGCATCAGCGCGAAACCACCCCCCGGGGCACGGCCTGCGGACACGGCGCGCTGCTGGGGCTGTGAAGAGGCTCAGCAACGAGCGCAGAGCTGGGGAAATCACAGAAAATGAGCTCTCGGGGCGGGGGGAAGTTGCAGAAAAATATCTTTTTAATTATGATCTGTCTTTCTCTGAAGCTGCTGCTTTTTCTCAGCCTCTGGATTCTTGCAGTGCATTTTCAGCTGGGGTGGCTGCCTCGGACCTGTGCGTGCGCTCCTGTCCCATGTCCAGCAGCGAGGCCGCTTCCCCGAAACGTTTTGAAGAGTAAATAGTGTCGCTTTTCTGGTCCGTCTCCGCTCTGACCTCTCTTTTTGGTGTTTTGTGGTTTCTCTGAGGCAGTGAGAGCTGGTCAGCTTAGTAAGGTGTCGAGACTTCCCTTGTTCCTGCAGTCCCAGGTTCTGTATCCAAGCCTGCTGTGTGAGCAGGATTTCTGCTGTGACTGGGTTTTTTTCTCCCCTGATTTTCCTCCCAGATCTAGTTGCTACAGGAGTAGGGAGCAGAATTAGGAGCTGGAGCCATCAGATTTCAGGTGCGTCGTTGTTAAGGGCGACCAAGGTTTGATCTGTGCTGCTTAACTCCGGACTTTGGAAGCTTTGGGGGCTGGGCTAGAGGATCTCTAGAGGTCCCTTCCAAGCCCCAGCATTCTGTGATTCTGTGAAACTTGCTTCCTCTGGAAGTTGTCTCATTTCATCTCTCTGCCTGCAAAAACGGCCTAAAATGCTTGTCTGGCAGCACCACAAAATCCCCTTTGGTGCTTCTCGTTTGCTTGCGTTTTGTCTGCCTGTGGTTCTGCTGAGGTTAGACTTCTTTTTGTGTGTTTCTTCCACTGCCTGCCTTTCGTTAATGAGACTTTTTTATGATTCTTCAGCACTCTGGGTGCTTTTGTGAAGCGCGATTCTGAACCATAACACAACAGATGCTGCCTTAACTTTCCCCAAATGCCAGAGGGGACCGAAACTGGAACATTTTTTGATGCTGTCGTGCTGATCCCTTGGCAGGCTCTTGTTGGAGGTGCTTGAGGTGAACCTACCACGTTTATTCCCAGTGTTTGCCAGGAAGCACACTGTGCCCTGGGTAAAAGGGGGTGGCCAGGAGGGGGGAACATGAGGCCCGAGCCA